AGCTGCCCGGGACCCGCTCCCCATCCCTGCCCCGCCCCGCCCCGCTCCCCCTGATCAGTGACAGAGCACAGCTGGAACCCTAGGAAGTGACACCTGAGTTGGACCCAAATTCGGCAGGTACCAGGGAGCAGATCCTGGCAGGACTCTCTGGCTCAGCTTCACCCACCACGGGAATAATTCCATCCACCCTCGCAGGCCCGCGTGGGGACCCAATGAGCCGGAAAATGGGAAGAGAACTGTTGAGTGAGGGAGGAGGGCTGCCCATCCATTCCTCTCCTGCCGGAGTCCCAGCCCACATCCCTGCTCACCCCGCCCTTCTGGGGCGAGGGCGGAGGGATGACAGTGCTGAAGCCCAGGGAAGTATCTTGGAGAAATGTAGCCGATTTTAAAGCTCTGCATTCTGGTTAGCGGGCTGCCCGACGGGAGCCTTTAACCCCCAGGGGCCCCTCGCCAGCGGTCGGCCGGGGAGAAGGAGAGGGCCCCGGGGACCGAGGCTGCGCGGCCAGAGCTGGGCCCGGCTCCCAGCCCCGCTGGCTGGGCCTGGCCTTGCACAGCAGCCTGAGGCCCGAGACCTGGGCTCTCCTGCACGCGGGTTATTGTCGCTACCTTTGAACTAGTGACTCGAGACTCAGAAGCCAAAATGGAACCGGCGGCTCTGAGATATTTTGGTGTTTTTTTTTTTTTCTTTTCTTCTCTCTCTTTTTTAAATAGAAGGGTGTAAACAACCTCGTGAGAAACGAGGCTAAATATAAAAGAAAACTTCCTGACACGGACCCCGAACAGGTGTCCCGAGGAAGGCACAGGACACGCAGAACCTGCCTGCGCTCCCGGTTTCTCTCCGGACTCAGGGCCAGACGGGACAGTGTGTGCGACCTCATGCCACCCCCCTCCCCCCCCGGCACAGACAACCCCGGCAGCTCCCGCACTCTGGCCCTCTGTCACCAGAGGGTCCCCATCAGCCATCTGCGGGTCATCTCAAGCCCCTGCCCACTTACTTCGGGGGTGGGGGGCTGGGGGGGAGTCCTTTGAAAGTTGCCCCACCCACCTGCCCTGATTGACAGCAACAGGGCCTCTTCAGAACACAGGGCTGCAGCTGAAGGCGGTTCCTCAAGATCCCCCCTTGCTCACCCCCCCCTTTCCTAACTCGGGTCTAGCTTCCCTTGTCCGGAGTTTCTGGCTCAGAGATGCCTCCACCGCCATCCACCGCCATCCAGCCAGCCCTGTGTCAGAGTTGGCAGGAACCTCCAAAAGGCTTCTTTTCCACCCCCCTCCCTTTCTGAGAAGGCCAACGAGTCCCAAAGAGGTGAAGTGGGGGAGTTTTCACCAGTGGAGCCAAGGCCTGCTGACCCTTCTCCACCAAGGACATCAGCCCTGAGCCCCCACCTCACCCTGTGCAACCCCAGGCCCCTGGCAGCCTCGGTGGTTGGGAGGGGGAGGGGGGCAGAAATGACCCTGGGGCAAGGAGGGAAGGAGCATCACGTGGCCTGAGTCACGTGGGCCGGCCGCTGGTCGGTTGGTACCACGTAAACAAGTCCCGAGCCCCGGAGCCAGCCCCACTGGAAATCTCCCTCCCACGTCCCCAGCCACCCGCCGGCCTCAACCTCTCAAGGCATCACGCTCACCCAGGCATCTATCACACAGGGTGCCTGCTCACCCCTTCCCCGCCGCCTGCCCCTTCCCTATCTCGACCATCTCAGAAGCATGCGCTGTGCCAGGAGAGGCTGGGCACGAAGCTCTGCCTCCCCCGGGCACATATTTTACCGGTGACTCGGCAAAGCCTTATCCCGATGTGCCTGCGCTGTGGGGCAAGGGGCAGGGTGACCAGGCGGAGGCAGAGACACCGGCTGGCGCCGGTGAGGGTGGGAGACAGGGCGCCGAGAGCAGCCACGGCCAATGGAAACGCCCTCCTCTGCTGGCGACCTACGGGCTGCGGCCTGCTGCCACCGTGGTCCTTGCAAGTGCCTCTAAGCTGTGGGGACCTTGGAGGCCTTTCTGGGTTCTAGAGAGAGAGAGGGGTGGGCATCCATATGGACTCTAACTCTCCGGAGGCCTGAAGACGATGGCTTCCCCATGGGGCTGAGGTCCTTCAGGCCCCTCCGTCCCCTCCCTGACCCACATCGGGATCCCCGCTCCTTAGAGGTGGGCGTCCTCCTTTTCTGTCACGTCTACTCTATGTTCCTTTTTATTTTATTTGTTACTAGAGGCCCGATGCACGGAATTCGTGCAAGAGTAGGCCTTCCTTCCCCCAGCTGCTGGCACCTGGGACCCGGGCTTCCCTCACAGCCCCCGCTTTGTCCGGAAGGTCCTCCGGAAGGATGTCTGGTCTAATTAGCATATTATGCTTTTATTATTATAGGTTATTTTCTACCTCTCCCACACCAGCACGTGGCTGCATGCTGCCTCCCCAGTCCAGGCCCTGGCACACTGCAGAGGCCGAGTCCAGATTTGTGGAGGGGGTGGATCTGCCTGCTCCATCCTGTCTGTCCATGGATACCCCAGAGGGCCTTCCTGTGCCCTGCCTCCCCCTCAAAATGGATGTGGCAGAGCCGACCTGGTGACTGCGAAGCCCCCTTGGGCGCCTGGCCTCTCACTCTGGTTCACACTCGTTCTCCTGGCTGCCTACCCATGGGAAGGGGGCGGGGGGGTTGGTCTCAGCTCCCCAAAATGTCTGCACCAGCCCCAGAGGGTGAAAATGAAAAGTACAGGCGTTGGAAGTGCCTGGCTTGAAATCTTAAACAGCCCCTCTTACCAAGTGTGTGACCTTGGCTAAGTCACTTCATAATCACAGTTTCTTTGACCATACAAGGGAAGTAACACCTACTCCGGAGGGTTGTTCTGGTGGTGAAATCAGATAAGCAGAGGCGGGACTCTTTACAAAGGTCAGTTTCCCTTTCCCGGGGCAGCCTGCTGAGACCGAGAACTCTGCTGCCCACCCCATGCCTTCCAGCCCCAGCCCGGCCCCGATCTGGGCTCCAGGCACACACGCATCCATTCCAGGCCACAGCAGGCAGCCCTGGCTGAACACGGGCTACACCCTCCCACACCCTCCTGGCCTTAGACCTGTGGTCAGACAATGCACAGCCACCTCCCTACACGCTCCTCCCCCGACTCCTCCCCTGCCCGGGCTCAACGTGACTGCACCAGGCTCTGCTCGGGCCTTGGGGCCTGCAGGTGCTCCCGGGCTCCATCAGCACATAGGCAGCGCCCGTGGAGGGAGCCGGCAAGACACCCACCCCAGCCTCTGCTCTCCTCACAGACGCTCAAGTCCCAGGAGAGCAGAGCGAGGCCTCTCTGGAACAGCCAGCTGGTGGACAGGGGCCGTCGGTATCTCTCCGCTATCTCCTGGGAAGGCAGCATGCCCACAGAAGTGACCGGCACAGGGTACAGATCCTCTCTAAAGCTGTGGCTGCAGCCTTGGGGGCACTGGTGCCAGGGGACGGAGCCAAGGCATGCATTAAACAGTTCGCAGCCCCGACCAGACCAGAATTCAATGGGGCCGAGAAGGCGCTGGCCAATCAGGTGCCCTGGCAGGGCCCCACCTCCAGTGCCTGCTGCCCAAGCCACGCCACCCCAGCGCCGGTGCCACCAGCTCTGTTAACCTCTGCTGGACTCAGATGGAAGGGCCCCACCCTGCCTCCTGGCTTCCAGACCACAAGATCCAAAGGTCAGGAAGAAAGTGCCAGATACGCCTGTCCTACCTCCCCCCACCCCTGCCCAGGAGGTGTCAACTGTTCTGCTGGCCGGACTTGCAACACACAGAGCTCCAGGCAGTGAGCAGGGTCAAAGGAATTAGGCGAGGAACACACACAGGCAAACCAACAGGGAAGCACCAGTCCGGGCTCTGGAAAGGCCACAGAGGTGACAGGCAACTGCCCCTTAGCTTCCCACCCTGGTTCTCCCCGTCTGGACAGGCAGGGCTATGAATGGGAGCACCCGGGGGTCACCCCGAGCCAGGCCAGGGATGCACCGCACACGGGCGAGCAGAGGCCCTTGAGCATGGCCAACAGTGCCGGCTGGCTCCGGCCCCTCAGCCGGCGCTGGCCGGACTCTCGCCGGCACGTCGTGAGGGACTTGGCCCGCGCCTCTTCATCTCCCCGGCTGCCCCAAAGCTGATCCCTCCTCTTTATTCATGTTCCAGACCCAACACGCTTAGCCATGCCTTGCCCCATGACGGCTGGAGGGGCTGAGACTGGGTCAGATTCCTGGAAGGAAGAGACACCGGCTCATCCACACAGCCCTGACTTCCTTCCCTCCTTAGGGCGGCTCTCGGGCTGCTCAGAGCCAGTTCTCAGATGCCTCTCAGATGGGGAGACATGAAACCCTTCCCTGAGGGCGGGCGGAAGGGAGTGGGGTGGGGAAAAGAGGGCAGAGAGGCGGGACCCCACAGGGCCTCCAGGGGTTAGCCGAGGGGTCATCAAATTACGCAGCAGCACCCCTTTTCTCTTAAGACACCAGGCAAATGGGCCCCGGCTAATTCCAACCAGCACCCCTAGCCCAGGATGGTGCCGGAATCTACTCGGGAGGGGAGAGGTTTCCCGGCGACGCAGCCGGGCTGTCTGAATTGTCTCTACAAGGCGACAGGCCTCCCCAGTCCCGCAGCCGTCATCGTTTTTAATCACCGTGGCTGTTATCATCAAGCGAGGCAGAGAAAAACATTCCTCCATCCACTGCCTACAGATGCTCTGCAATGGCTTACTGGAAGTGGAATTTTTTTTTAAGGCCAAGGCAATAATAGCTTCGAGGAAGAAAGTCACACACACACACACACACACACACACAAGGTAGGCAGCCCGGGCAGTGTGGCTCAGTGGTTGAGCATGGACCTATGAACGAGGAGGTCACAGTTCAATTCCCGATCAGGGCACATTCCCAGGTGGCGTGCTCTATCCCAGTGTGGGGTGGGCAGCGGGCAGCCGATCAATGATTCTCTTTCATCATTGATGTTTCTATCTCTCTCCCTTCCTCTCTGAAATCAATAAAAATATATTATTTAAAAAAAAAAAAAAAGTAGGGAAAGAACCCCAAATCTACTTGCCTAGGCCATAGTCTAAACTCCAGACTTGAGCTCTAGACAGAGGCCAGCAAGGCTAAATGTGTCTGGAGTAAGAAAGGACATCCCCAGAGATGACGCTGAGAAGAGATACCCGAGTCCCAGGCAGGTTCCCAGAGTCTTGAGGGATTAAACCCAGAACCTCAGGCGAGGGGATATATGGGGGGGGGGGGGGGGCTGCTAAGGAGAGGACTAGTCAATGACACAGGAGACACAACTGCTCTGCCAACAGCCACACCCAGCCACCTCCCAGCCATCTTCCACACACCCTAGCAGCCGGTCGCTTCCCTGGCCACCTTTCCCAAGTCCCTACTGGCCACCAACCCCATTCACAGAAAAGCTGGGAGGGAGAGCATGGAAAGGAGGGGAACGTTGTTTGGGAGATTCTGAAGTGAAGACGTTGAAGGATTGCTCACCGCATAAGGAAAATGGCCTCCCTGGGGAAAGAGGGGGTTGGGGAAAAACGAGAAGGGAAACAGCCCACCCCTGACTTACCTGGGCGGCAGGGAAGGGGTTGAATCATATTTCCCATGGAGCAGCCCGACGATGAGCCACATCCATCAGCTCTTTCGCTCCCGGAACCACCGCCGAGGGGTGGCTCAACAGCACCTACAACAGGGAGAAGGCAGAGATCCAGCCCACTCTGCCTGCACCACCCACTGTGCCACCCCCAGTCACTACCAGCTCTCTCCGTGACGGCTGACACCGCTGCCTAGCAAAGGCGGATTCCCAGAAACTCCGGGGGGAGGGGGGAGGGCAGGGAGCAGGCGCAGTTCCCGGATGCCGGATGCTGGAGCGGAGCCTGCCCTCATGGATCCTTAAGAAAACCAGAGGGAGGAGGAGGAGGAAGGGGTGGAGAAAGGCAGGGAAGACCAGAGGTCCAACAGAAGGAAGGGGGAGGTCAGAGCAAGGCAAACAGGAAACCCAGAAGACATACCGGAGCCTGGTCTTCACCAAGGGCCACGCCGTGCCTTCAGCCACATCCAGGGCCCGGTCTCTCCTCGTCCAAAGCCCAAATCCATCGAGGCTGTCAGCTCCTCCGATATCAGGACCCTCATCCACGTGACCTTTGGATCTCTCCGCATCTGAATTAGGGGAAACCGAGCGTGGCAGCCCTGAATCAGGGACACCACACACGGACACACACACACACACACACACACACACACACACACGCACACACAAGGACACACGGCCTTCCCAGAAGGAAAGGCCCCTCAGAGATGCCTCGCTCTCTAGGTTCTGGTTCTCTGATAGAACCGCTCCTCTCCCACAGGGGAGGGCAGACACGTCCGATAAGGATTGCTTAGCAAAGGCTATATATAGTCTAGGTTCCAACCGGCCTGGAGATTTGGAGCTAGAACTTGGCAGAGAACCATGCTAGATGCTGGCAGGGACCAACCTCCCTCTGCCAGCCAACTGGGAGCCTCACCTCCCTGCCAGGGGCAGGGAGGGCAAACAGGGTCCTCCCATTTGGCCCATTAACACTCTGCACCGAGGGACGTGGGCTCCTGGCTCTATTTTAGGGCAAGTCGAGGTCTCCTAAGTGAGAGGGGGACGTGTGCGGGATGAACATCGCGTTCTAGCGTCTCTACAGTTCTCCGCAGCACGAGAAAAGCAATCCAGTCCTCTCTTCCGGAGTACCGAGGATTGGGGGTGCCAGAACAGAATGGAGAAGGCACGGCAGCTGGCTGGGGTCAAAAAACATCTATCTGCTTCCGACGTCTGAAGGAATAAAAGAACGCAGGCAAATACTTACTGCACGGAGCCAGGCTGCCACGCATCTCTCTTTTTTGGGGGTTTTCAAATAAATGCAAAAGGGCGCACGTGACCCCACGGTATGACGGCTGTCTTCTGCCCACCAGCACCATCCTCGGATGGTCCGAATCTCCACACGGTTGTCACTGATGGAGCTCAACTTCTCTGAGTTCTCTGTGGGGAAGAAGCAAAAGGAAGACTCAGCTGCAGGGCCAGCCGCAAGCCATTCGTGGTGCAGGCTCCGATGAGGTCCCGTCAGGGTCACGATGTGGCCCTGGGACCATGGCTGCTCAGCATCCAATGACAGGAGCAACCCACTGTCCTGGAGGAAGGGGCAGCGTCTGGTCAAGAAGGGCCAGTCCCAGCAGCTCTTTCAAAACCAAACCTGAGGCTGCTGTGGCTCCGTGGTTGAGCGTTGACCCATGAACCAGGGGGGTCATGCTTGGATTCCCAGTCAGGGCACATGCCCGGGTTGCGGGCTCGATCCCCAGTGGGGGACGTGCAGGAGGCAGCTGATCAAGGAATCAATGATTCTCTCTCATCTTGGATGTTTCTCTCTCTCTCTCTCCCTCCCTCTCCCTTCCTCTGTGCAATAAATAAAATTATTTAAAAAAAAAATAACAACCAAACCAGAAGGACCACGGAGCTCTCTGAAGGACAGAACCTGGGCTCTCTTCAGACACGCAGCTTCTGGACAAAGAAAACAGGAGGCTCAAAGCATCTGACACCCACTATGGATGAGTTTTTGTAGGTCAAGTTGCTCTGTACTCAGGCTCAAAGAGACATGACGCAGAGGGGCTGGTCCTGCCCGCGGGCTCTGGGTGGGGACGGCTGGCTCCTCCACAGCTCTGACCAGCCGTCCGCTGTGACCTCAGTCAGGTCTCCGTGCTCCCTCAGCCTCCCGAGGCCCCAGGGCCACTCCTCCCAGAGGCCCCCAGTGAGTCACGCCCGCCCCGATGTCGCTGGGGAAGGGAGGGGGCGCCCCCATCCTCTATGGCAAAGCCTGAGACTCAGGAAGGGGACCCGGAGAGAGGGGTCCGGGAGCTCCAGGCCCGCTGCCCCTCCAACCCACCCGCAGGCTGTCTGCTCCTCTGCCCAGTGCCACGGACAGAGAGGAGAGAAAGCGAAGCCAGAGGCTGGGGACGATGCTTTGGCCACAACTCAGCGGCGATGGAGCTCCATGTTCTCTCTGGCTCCCCGGCAGGCCGGGCGGGCGGGGCGGGCGGGTGGGGCCTGGGGGAAGGTCACATGCGCTCAGCGCAATGCGGCAGATCCAGGAAAAGCCTAGAACCCTGAGCCGCCATGACACACACCCAGGTCAGGAACTCAAGGTCTACCATTTTGCCTGAGAAGGAAGAGAGGCAGATGAAGGGGTGGGGGAGAGGGAGTTAGCTTTGATTTGAGAAGGCAGGAAAGGGGAGACCCAAGCAGGCAACCCAAGAGCTGAGCTTCAGCTTAAGGCCGGAGGGAGATGCGTCTCCACCATCTTCACACGGTGCCACCTAAGACGCAACATCCCCACGACGGGCACTGGTTCGTGGGATCCCCCGGGCGCTCCTGCTCGCCCCGTCCCCACCCCAAGAAGAGATCCCCCCACCTTCTGTCCGAGCCACAGGGACACATCCCCAGGGGCCCCGGTGAGATGCCTCCCGTTGGGGACGCGTGAGAGGAGCTCCAGAGGCGACCCTGTTTGTCAAGTTCATCTAAAAATACAAACAGCTGCGTGTTCTGTTCCGATTCCAAAATGCACGGGCCCCGCAGCAGCCTGGTGAGTCCCCGGGGCTCCCCCCAACCCCACCCCGACACGCCATGGGGGGCTTCTTGCTGCCCGGCCCCTCTTGCAAACGACCCCAGCGGCGGCTGGGTCAGCTCTGAGCCGCCCCGACAAGCTGTTCCTGCTTTCACGCTGACAGAATGTCCTGGCCATTCAGCTGAGCGCTCCATCTTCCTGCTCCCAACGCACTGAGTCATCATCCAGAGAGGAAAAAAACAACCGAGCGGCCGTCACCAGGGTCCCCGCTGCCGACGGCTGGCGACGCACGGCTGGCGTCACTCTCCGCTCTGCAGCCCCACAATTGGTGACGAGGGGCCTCAGGGTGCTCGGCTCCCCTCCCACGGATGGATGCGTGGCAGGAAGCAGGGGAGGGAGGCTAACCTGGCATCCGAAGGCTCCCAGGAAGGCGCCCCGTTAACCCTCCCTCTGCCACCTCCCGCCCTCCGGCCCCGTTCCCGCGGCCTCGCTCCCACGCAGACGGTGGAGGGGCAATTCCTCCCGGTGGGGAAGGAAACGGCGTGGCAGGCTTCAGGTGCCTGCTGCCTGGTGCCTGGTGACCTCCCCTCCCTCCCACCCCCCACTCTGTTCTGCTGCCATTGAGGCATGCAAGCTCCCCTCTTCCCCATTTCTTCTTGAGCCCAGCCACCTCACGCCATGCCGGCCTCACGGCCCTGCAAACCTCCTGGGTAGGGGCCAGGGAGCCACACTTCGGGGGGGGGAGGGGGGCCTGCTTGCTGGGCGAGATGGCAGGCATTTCTGCGGAGTCACGTGGCTCCCTCTCCCTGAGTGAGGGAGGACACGGAGACTTAGGAAGATCCAATAATCGGTCTAACACCGCCCGGGGAAGACGAGGCAGGGTCCGCAGGCCACCCACCGTCCGTCCAGGGATAATCAATGTCCCCGGCCCTGCCTCCCACGCTCTCCACTTGCTGCTGCTGCTGCTGCTGCGTTCTGGAGCTTATCTCTGCTCAGAAGGTCCCATAACCCACCCACTCTCCTCCTCCTCCTCCCTCTCCCAGGATCACGGAGGTTTGTCAATCCATCCATTTCAGCTACAAAAAACAAACAACAACAACAGAAACAAAACAAAACAAAGGAAGCCGGCCTGATGAGTGAGACTGGCCACAGGGAAGAGGAAAAAGGGTGAGGGTGGTATGGGCCAGCTAAGGGACCCAGACCTTGGGTGCAAAAGGACCGGCCACCCGAAGTCCCCCCATGCCTCAGGGACTTACAGAACCCCTTACACAGTCACGTTTGGGGGACCTACCTCGTTCAGGGGCATTTTGCAGACACAGAGGACGGAGAGAGGAAAAAACACACAAAGGCTTTGAGAGACCAGGGTTCTAACCATGATCGGAACACTTACCAGCCACCGATGCCCCCCGGGGGTCAGGGTGAGGGATAAATGAAATGGCCGTCGTGCGAGAGCCAGGAGGGGGGCCCAGTAGGCAGGAGGCGCCCACTGGGTACGAGTGAGCTCCCCGTCTAATAGGTGGCGTGAGATTTACAGGCAAAAAAAACAACAACCAAAGGAGCAGACAGAGGGATGAAGGCCATGGGAGCTGGGCAGGGGTGGCTCTGAGGACCCCGCTGGCGGAGGGAAGGACAGGTTCCTGGGGACAGGCACTGCGGCAGGTGGGTGGGTGGGTGCCACGGAAAGCGCCCCCCGGTGAAAACGGAGGTGGGAGAAGCAAGCACAAGGGAGTCACCTGGTTTTGCGAGAATGTGTGGCCACCTAGGGACAGGATCTGAGGCTGGCTGCAGACAGCCCCCGGCAGGCAGCCTGCGAGGGGAAGGCTCTCCTCCGGATCGAGGAGGAACCATTTCACGTTTCTGGGCAGGAAGACAAGATGGCCGCTGCACGCAGCCAGCCGGGGACGGCATGGGCACGGGCACGGGCACGGGGACGGCAGGGCGCCTGCTGGGCTCGGGATTGGGGATCGGCTGTGGGAGGGGCCTGAGCACAAACAGAGGGGGAAATGGCAAACAGGCAGGGCCATCGGGACAGATCCTCAAACTGCCAGGGACCCCACCCCAGGCCGTGGGGAGGCTGCCTGCCCGAGGCAGATGTATTTGGGGATCCCACACGTCTGAGAGGAGCTGCCATGGCTCTGCCTCCTCCTCCCACCCCCCGAGATCCAGCCGTTCACCCGACAGCCCTGAGCCTGAGGCTGAGGCATGACGCCCCAGGCCTGGGTCAGCAGGGCCCACGCTCTGGCCACACCAGGGCCCCAGTGGTGAGGCCCCCCCCCCCCCCCCCCCCCCCCCCGCAACCAGGGCTGTGCTTGGGGTTGGGACTGGGCCACCTTCACTGCGGCAGCCACCGATGCCCGCCTCTGACCCCCCCCATCCCAGCCCCCCCCGCCCCCCCCACTCTGCAGAACCGGCGCAGCAGGACAAAAAAAACCAACACCACCGTGTCCGAGCCCAGCACCTGTACCTCCAACATGGCAGCCTTGCAAGAAAAGGAGTCCAAGAACCCTATCAGCCCACCCAGGGCAAGGAGGGCCAGCGACCAGGGCGGGCAACGGTCCACCGCTCCCACCGGGGCCCCCCAACCTTCCCTCGCTCTCCCCAACCGCCACGTCGTTCCCATCAGAACTGCCCTTTCCGAAGCCAGAGGCCTAAGAGGGCAGGAAGGGCATCCGCCCGTCCCCCGGGAGAGGTCCGGGGGGACCGGAGGTGGCCCCGGGCACTCAGAAGGACAGCCTGCGTTCTACGCCCCAACCCGAGGACCCATGGTCACCCCCCTTCTGTCTGCAGCCCTAGCGCCTACCTCTGCCGGGACAGAGCGAAATGGCTCTCCTGTGAGACCCTCCCGGCTCCGTGGGCCCCGGGAGGGAGCCGGGAGGCAGGTTGGCGAGGAAGGGCCAGGAAGGCGCCGCCGTGCCCTCCGTTATGTAAGCAGCAGGGCGGCGCTGCCCCAGGCCGGAGACCCAGGCGCATTGCGCTGCCAGCTGCGCAGTCACGGGGCGGGGGCCACTGCGCAGGGCTGGGGCGGGCTCGGGAACCCCGTCCCCACCAAGGGGAGGCCTGCAACCAGGCGGGATGGGGAGCCGAAACCCTAGATTTCCCACGTCCCCTGCCCCCCAACCAGAGGATCAGCCTGCTGTCCTAGTTTTGCTCTCACTCTCGGTCTCTCCCCAGAAGGACAAGCCTGTGTCCCCTCTCGGGGCCCAGGGGCCCTCCCCGAAACCCCACCCGATACACAGCTTCGGACCGACGTCCGGGGGTCGGTCCCATCCTCACCTTTGCGAGCACCAGGGAGCAGCAGCTTCCAGAAGGCAGGTCCTCCCCACACTGGGCTCGGCTCTGGACAGCCCCAGACGTCAATGCAAATCTCTGGTCCCCCTGGGAGCAGCCCAGCGTCAGCAGGAAGCCCGGGGTGGTGGCAACAGCAGCAGCGGCGGCTCTGCCCTACCTTGCCCGGGCGTTTCCAGGGGAGCCAAGAATTATTTTGCCGCAACACCAAGGTGTGGCTGATTGGAAAATTCCCTTTTCTGACACCAAACTGAAGGACAGATATTTTCTTTCCGTCTGGCCAACGCTCTGGGCACCTGTCTAGCTCCCCAACCCTTCCCCCTCGGCCAAGTTTGGGGTGCCCTGAGCTCCTCATGAGGTAAAAGGGCGCAGGAAGAAGCTTCTCCTGGTCCGTCGAAGGCAGGCCCCCAGGAGCACCTACGCACACCCCTAAACAGATCTCAGAGAGCTGCTGGGCTTCTCCCCCCTCCCCTGGAAGCAAGTGGAATGCAAATTCAGATTTGATACCTCACCCTCAGCCAATGAAAAAGAGGTTTTCACCTGCCACAGGCCAGGCCACCAATCGGAGGACGTGTCTGGAGGGAGAGCCCTCCCCTGGCCAATGGAAGGCCAGCTCAGTCACTTAGTTAATGATGCAGCAGTACAAGGAAGGCCATCACATGTGAACTGGAAGGGTGCCAACATGGAGAGACACAGAGAGCGCAAGGTAAACAACTTTCCAACGCCAAAGGGATGACATTTAATCTCTAAAGGCTGGCTTCCCCCACTCCGCTCCTCTTTTAAACCCTCTCAGCTGGCCCCACACACCCCGGGAACCTCACTACCTGTCCCCCCAGAGGTCCCCACGAGATGCAACAGTGACTGCGTCATCATTTCCCCACTTTCCCCAACTACGCAGTGACCAGCCTGCCAGCCTCACCCCACGGCTCCCAGTCCACAGCCCAGCCTGCCCACCTGCTCCCCGCCGGCCAGAGCCTCAGGGCTGAGCGTTTCCATGAGGCAGCCCCTGGGAGACTGTGCCTGGCCTTCCTCTCAAGACCTCTCCTCCTCCTCACTGACCCCCCTCCCCCTTCCACCTGAGCCCTGCACGGACAGACAGACAAGGGCTGCCACTGAACTGGAAAACCAGTCCGTATGTCTGCCCAACAGAAGAAAAAGGGGATCAGGACTAGGAGGGTCAGGTGGGACGCCCGAGACAGCTTGCTCCTCTCTCCTCGCCCCCCCAGAACAGGTTTGAGCAGCTGACACGAAGGGAGAAGAAACTGAAGTGGGAGAGAGAGAGAAAAAAAAGCCCTCCCTCCATAAAAAAAAAAAAAAAAAATAGCAGAAAGTGAGAAAGGAGGTGAGAAAGACAGAGCGCCCACATACGCAGAGCCATCGCCCCCGAATCCCGGCAGATACGTACGTGGGGGAAGAAGAGGGCTGCGCCATCGAGTCCCGAAGCCCATCGGACCGCCCATCGCCGGCTGCGCAGACCTAAATCTTGGTCTGGCTGTGACGATGCCGCAGTCTCGAATGTTCCAGAAACCGGTCCGGTTCAGGCTTCCACCGTGGCCCCCACCACCTCTGGCCCCCACCCCTGCCCCCCACCACCCCCTCTCCCCACCTCCTCCGCACGGGAACCGCCCGTGCCACCTTGCGTATCATCCTCCTCCTCCTCTCAGCCTAGGCTACCCACAGGCCTCCAGCCCCAGACAGATTTCTGAACGGCTTTGGCCAGGGAGCTGGCAGAACCTGGCACCCGGTGTTGCTATGACTTGTTTCTTGATTCCCCTCTCTCTCTCTCTCTGCTGCTGCTGCAGCACGGCTGTTGCTAGCAGACCTATCGACGGAGCGCTCTCTCTCTCTCCCTCTCCCCCTCTCTCTCCTCTCCTCTCTCTCTCTCTCTGAGCTCTGTGACGCAGATCTAAATTCTCCAGTCTGCTCCTTGTGTTGCAAGAGCAGAACTGCAGCTTTTCCCCTGGAGAGCCTGAGGGCAGTGCCAAGGCTGGTCAAACAAGGCAGAAAAAAAAAAAAGAAAAAAGAAAAAGTTGGGCCTGCACTCGGCTCCCTGGCCACACTTTCCCGTCCCATTTTTTACCCCACACCTCACTGCTCCGGGGCATCCAGAGGCTGGTCCCCGTGGGCTCACACCTTCCCTGAGGGCTCCCCGGCCCCAAGGCCAGCTTAACTCTTTGAGGGACAGCGCCCACGAGGCCGACAGGCCAGGGCTGTCCCACACCAAAGGTTGCGTCATCTTTTCTTGAGCCCCGTGAGCGTCTCCCAGCCACAGGAAAAAAAATGGCCCTCACCCCGAGACCACTGTCCTGTTAACTCTTTCTGTCACGGACAAGTCCAGATCTACAGCGCAGCTGATCTTGGCTGCCTTTTTAGCTTTTGGGGGCCACCAACCGGGACCTTTTTTCCCCTCCCTGAAATTTCCGAAAGACAAAAAAAAAAAAAAGGTAATTAAAACATGGCCTGGCTTATCCCACGAGTGAGATCCTGGTACCGGGGCAGGAACTGGACCGGGGAGTCCGAATGTGAACGGCAGCCTGACGAAGCCAGACTAAAACCTGTCTGGGTCTGCGTGGCTCCTGAGCTCAGAATTTGAGAGACGAGGCGGACCCGTCCAATCGCTTCTCAGAAGGCACGCCATGCCACACTCAGTCCCAGAGATCCAGGTTGCTGAGTCATTTGTTCCCAAGAAGATCCTCCGGCAACACGAAAGGCAGCAAAACAGAGCGGCAGCCAGGCCTGGGCCTGGAGAGGCCAAGGACGGGGTTCTCCTCGCTGGGGGGTGGGCAGCCAGCAGCCCACCCCCATCGCCCTGGCGAGGGTAATGCCTGGGCACTCACATACCTGGACACTCTTTCGGGGTCTGGTGGGGGGAGGGGGAGCACCATGGCTCTGGAGAAGGCCCGAGACTGTTCTAGGATACTGACAGGTCTCCACTGCAGCCAAGCACAGACCCAGATATGCTTCCAGAACAATTCCGATGCTATCCTTGGACCCCGCACACCGAGGCAGACCCAGGAAGGGTCTTAGGCCCCCACACCATCACCTCGAAAAAATCCAGACCCAGAAAGATTTCCTGACAACCAGTGGCACCATACGAGAGAGGCTCGACCCGACTGGAAGTGAGAGAGAGAGACTCAGTCCCGGGGCAGGTGACTCGTAAGGTACTTCACATCGAGAACCCCGCCCCTCCCGGGAAGATGGCTTGAGAGAGAGAGGCCAGGCAGCCGCGTGACCCCGAACCCTGCCTCCCTGGCAGCCTTCCTCCAGCCACCACGCCAGGCCACGGCCTCACGCAGCACGAAGACCACTTGGAAGACGACCATGGGTATCGGTGCCAGGCTCCCAGCCGGGGGCAAAGCGCTCCAGACTCACACCTTCTGGGCTCCAGGGCAGAGCATGCCAGCGAAGACGTTACCGACTGGTCCGGCGGCCAAAGGCGCACGGCGCGAGGCCCCCCTCCCCGGCACGGTCCTCTGCCGACTTAAATACCATTCGCCGGAGTTTCCTTTTCCATGGAAGAAAAACATGCCTAAGTTCACGTCAGGACATTCCTGATTTATCCAAGAGCCCAGGATCAAATAAACAAAAGGGCTCTGAGCTCTGCCAGGGAGCCTCCTGCTCCGGGACGGAGAACCAGAGGGAAGCAGCGGGGGCCCCTGCGCGCAGAGCTGGCCCATCACCCCGGGGAGCCTGGTGCGTGACGCGGCTGCTCCCCGCCTCGGCGATGGGGATGCCACGGGTGGGTGGACGTGCGCAAGAAGAGGCAACTAAGTCAACGGGAGAGGGAGCGAGAGCAAGCTCGGGTCAGAGGAGGGCCGCTCCCAGCCACGGAGGCTGCAGGTGGAGGCCGGCCGTGGCCAGTCCCCGAGCGTGGGTAAATGCAAAGGAAGGTCCCCCATCCCGGCGGCTCAGCCGGAACCCACTCTGACTTGCAAAGCAGTACGACGACGACGAGCACTGTGTTTGGGAAAGGCTTTGTTAGAGTTCACTCTTCGCCCACGTCTTCTCTTCTTTCTTCCCACAGCCCCATCACCGTTCTTAGCCGCGTCACCAGGGATCGAAATGGCCGTGGCGGCTGCCTCTGCCCAGGTCTAGCTCTTTCTTCGGTTAACTCGGTTCTGCGTGGCACCGGGAACAGAAACCCCCGAGCGGGATGACCAGGAAGCAGAAACGAATGTGGTTCCAAAAACACAGGGGAGGATGTTTACTTAGCAAGCATGCGCGAGCCTACCAGGAAGCGGCTTTCCAGGGTGCTGCCTGCGGTGTTGGACTTCGGGGGGCAGAGAGAGCTCGGGGGAGAGGAGACGGGGCTGGCTCCTCCCGCCACACTCGGGGGGCCTGCAAAGGCAGGGCTTCCACTCCAGCCCAGCAGGCCCCTGGTCCTCCTGGGTTTCTCTGAGCTACAGGCCTCGGAAACCAGCCCCACTCTGCAAACACGGCGAGCTCCCCGTGGCCTCTGATGGATCTGGGTCAAAACTCTGCAACGCCAAAGACGAAGTTTTTTTTTTTCTTCTTCTTCTTCTTTTCTTTAAAGGGAATGAGCTGAACTTTTACCCAGCCCTTGTCCGGGGTTTGGAATGCGAGCACCCTGTCCTTGCCACAGACTCCCGTTTGGCATCAGCCAGGAGAGCAGGCGTGAGACAGCCTCTACGTCGTGGGACCCACTCAACCGGACGGGAGCTGTCACCCAGAGAGAAACTGTTTTTCTCCAGACAGGGGAGCTGGGCAGGAGACCGATCCCAAACTCCACGCCAGGAGAAGGGCCAGAGTGGGTGTTGCGGAGAGATCAGGCCGGTGAGGTCTCGGGAGGAACTGACAGGCCCAGGCAGACAGGCCCAGGCGAGCACCCAGAACGTCATTTCCTAAGTCCCGACGAGGTGCTGAGCCACACACAGCAAGCGCTGTGAGACAGAGACCGTCATCTCAAGACATACCATGCTAGGGGAGGGCCCTGTCAGCATCCCCACATTTGCACTGTTGATATCTCTGCTCTTTAAAAGCTGATATTCGTTTTCCCGTTGAAATATACCAAACAGTATTGTTTGCGTTCCCAGGACAGCCCACAAAAGCCTATTTCAGTCTCGTCAGAATGTCGCAAACGCAAACGCCTGTGGGCTGGCAGGCAGGTAAGAAAGGCGAAGCCGCTGGGGGAATGTGCCAAGGGGAAGGAGGGTCCTCTCTTCACAAGCAACCCCTCCGCAGCCTGCCTGCGGGGGACCAGCTGGGGGTGGGGGCCCCAGGAACTCAGATCACCCCGTTTTTCAGGAGAAGGTGGAAATCCAGATTTATTATATTAAATTCTTAATTTTTAAAAATATATATGTTTACTGATTTCAGAGAGGAAGGGGAAGGGGGAGAAAGAGAGAGAGAGAAAGAGAGAGGAGAGAGAGAGAGATCAATGATGAGAGAGAATCATCGATCATCTGCCTCCTACACGCCCCACACTGGGGATTGAACCCACAACCCGGGCATGTGCCCTGACCGGGAATCGAACCGTGACCTCCCTGTTCACAGGTCAACGCTCAACCACGGAGCCACGCCGGCTGGGCTACACTCTGAGTTTTTTAAAACACCGTCCAATGTTTTAAAAGCCAAAACATACCTGCTCACCTCCCAGACTGTCTGCTCTGTGGTGATGGGTCCGGAATACGATACGTTTGCAATGAAAAAAATAAAGGCAGTCACTGCCAGAGAGAGAGGACTTAAAGAAAATAAAGAAACAAGGACGCGTAGAACGGAATAGGAAACTGCCTCGCAGCGGCTGCTACAGGAGAAAAAAATGACACAGACCAAAACCAGAGACCCTCGACCTTCTGCTCAATGCTTGTAAGCCGGTTCTGTGCTGAGGGCTGCGGCAGAGAGTGCCTCAGAATCTCCTAAATATTCATCACCCCGCTAAAGGGCTGGTGTTTGTGCCTGGCCTGACCCGGCAGGAGCACAAAAGAGTGCTCCCCAATGGAGAGGTGCTGCTCTGAGCATCCCCAAAGGGTCCGTCCTGGGCTTTGCTGGTAAAACCGGAAGGGCTTATCCTAATCCAGCTGCCTGTCCACGGCACCGGGCCCTCCACAGACAACACCGTGACCTAGACGTGGTGTAGGTTTAGCCTCCGCGTGACCCAGTGACGCCTGTGCCACCTTCGGAGGTCCCACAACTGGGACGAAACTGAAGGAAACGGTCACTCCGGGTCCTATCTACCAGCCTCAGGCCTTCCCTCTGCCTCGGGGATCCACAGGACAAGCCTGCTCCCCCGAAGGCGTTCATGTGTTAGGATAACGTTTACGACCACACCAGTTTAGGCTAAACAAGGAGGTACAGAAAGGGAAATGAAAGAGGAGGTGGGGGGTTGGGGGAAAGCCGGGGAGAAATCTTCTTAAAACAGCTGATCAAAAATTAACCAGCCCAGCTGAAACCGGTCTACGGACTGAAAGGTCCCAGGTTCCATTCCAGTCAAGGGCATGTACCTTAGTTGCGGACACATCCCCAGTAGGGGGTGCGCAGGAGGCAGCTGATCTATGTTTCTTTCTCATCGATGTTTCTAACTCTCTATCCCTCTCTCTTCCTCTCTGTTAAAAATCAATAAAATATATTTTAAAAAATTTAACAAGCCCAAGGAAAAGAGGAAGGTGTATATATATATCTATATCTATATCTATATCTATCTGGACACTGAGTGGCCAGATTATTATGCATTCAGAGATCATAATAATCTGACCACTCAGTATGTGTGTGTGTGTGTGTATAATGTATTCATGAGAAAGAGGCACTTTGGCCAAATAAACAGCTGAGGGAAGCAGGACTGGGAAAGGAAGGGCCCGGGGCCACACACACCGGAAGAGAACAAGAACCACGGGACCAGACAGTTCCCAAGGCCAGCCACCAGGCTGTGCCGTGATCAGGGCCCGCTGCTTAAAACCTGAGACTGGGAGAAGAACACCGCATACAGCCCACAATTTATAAGAATGGGGCATTCTTTTGACCCATTTTGAGGGAAGGGATTCTTTTCTTATAGATTGTATGGATTCTTTATATGTTCTAGAATCAGATCCACTTGCCAGTCCTAGGTGCAGCCTGAGTCTCCTCTCTGCTTTGTGCTCTCTTTTATTCATGACTTGTGATGATCAGTTCCTCATTTTAATGTCAATAACTTATCGGCCTTTCCCTTTATAGCTAGTGCTTTCGGTGTCTTCTTTAAGAAGTGTATGGCCACTCAAAGTTATGAGGGAATAGAATTCCTAAGTTATCTTGTAGATGAAGTTTTACTTTGTATTCAGTTGGGCATTTAGATTGATGAGCTCACTGGGAAGTATTTTTGTGTGTGATGCGAGGGAGTGAGTGGTCATTCATTTCTACAAAGATACCCACTCTCCCAGCAGCACTGCTGATTAAAGTGACTGTCCATTCCGAACTGCTCAGCAGTGGCCCATGCTCAGGTGTCCAGATGTGTGTGGGTCTGTTTCTGAGCTCCCTGTTCTGTTCCTTTGGTCAGAAATAAGATAATGCTCAGCTGATGTGGCTCAGTGGTTGAGAATTGACCTATGAACCAGGAGGTCATGGTTCCCGGTAAGGGCACATGCCCAGGTTTTGAGCTCAATCCGGGGATATGCAGGAGGCATTCAATTGGTGATTCTCTCTTATCATTGATATTTCTATCTTTCCCTCTCCCTTCCTAAAATAAATGGAAAAATTAAAAAAAAATTAAAAAAACGAAGTAAGATAAGTAGGTGCATTATGGAGCACCAATCTTCAGTCAGGTGATTTGACAAGTAAAGTTTAAGAAAATGTAA